GCGTCCGGCACGTGGGGGCGAGGCGGCCCCTGGACGGCCCAGCAACAACAGGGACGACGAGGGGAGAAGAGGCAGAATGAGAAGGGTCTCCAGAAATCTCTGGAGGCCCACGAGGGGCACGACGCGTCCCGAACCCCTTCAGGCACGTTGCGGGAGCGAGGAAGAGAAGAAAGGGGGTGCCAGGATAGCTGGGGAGGGGAGAGGGAGGGAGGAAAACGGCGACGACGACAACGACGAGGACGGCGAAAACGACGAAGGGCGTGAGGCAGGGCGTCGCGGCGGCCTCGGTCTTGTTCACGCACTCCGCGTCGAAGCAGTCGACGGCAATGACGTCGTTTGTGAGGAGCTTGTCCTGAACGGCGCGCGATATCGACTAGGAGGGGCGAAGAAGGTCGACGACCGAGATTCCTGTGCGCTTTTGCGTCTCTGCGCCCCCGGAAGAGTGGGGTATATGAGGACGGGAAATCTGACGTGTTATTCGCCAATGTCGGGCCTCCTGGGAAGCCCTCGCCATCGCGGCTGGATTCCCCCCTGTCGGAACTCTTGTCAAGATGCGGTCCAGGATGGATGCGGGGATCGCTGCCTGAAGGATTCATAAGCGAGGGGAGGGAACAGCGGACGAGCAGGGGAGGCTGTGCACACGGGCAGGAGGGCAGTGAGGGAGGGAGGAGAAGGCAGGGCGGAGAGGACATGAGACGAGCTCTTCTTTTTTCCATCACTCCCCACTATTCTTATCTGACCCATCCGCTCAGAGAGACCAGCGTAGAATGTCAAATTCCTACACGCTTCCCCATTTACCGAATGCCACCGAGAAACGGCGACGTGACTCGCCCCCCACACATACCCACCCCGACGACAAAATGCGAAAAACGAAAATCTGCCGACCCCTTTGGGCTTCATCGGCGTGTGAAATGTTTCCCCCTCCCCAACCCCCTCCCCTGGGAGCCCGGTCCGGTCGATTTTGAGGGGGGGGTCCGCCGGAAGGTGGGCGAACGCGCCCGAAGGGGCAGAAGGCCTCACAACAGACCAAGAGGGCCCCAAGAGGCACTTGGGGCGGTCCACGAAGGCCACGAGACGCTGAAACATCGGCCCAAAACGCCCATGCTGGCCACCAGAAAGCCCCAGAGGCCCGTAAGACGCCCCGAGAAGCCCCCAAGAGGCGCCCCAAGAGGACCTCCACAAGCAAAAAACAAACCCTTTCTTGAAAAAAACATGCGTATTTGGCACATTCGCCTCTTGAGCGTTCACAACATCCTAGACGGCCCACGAGGCCGGGAAGATCGCCCAAAGACGGGCCAAGAGGCCCCCAAGAGGGCCCCCAAATGAATCTTCGGTTGGTCTGAAAGGACCACGAGTCGTTGAGAGATCGTTCCGCGACGCCCGCGCTGGCCTCCACACGGCCCCCGAGGCCCCCAGGAAACCCGCACGAAACGTCCCAAGAGGGCCCCCAGAAGCAAATATCATTCCATTCCTTTTGGCAAACGCGCATTCGTTGCACATTCGCCTACTGGGCGTTCGCAGCGTCCCTGCTGGCCCAAGAGGTCTTCAAGTTCGCCCCAGGACGGGCCAAGAGGCACACAAAAGGTTTCCAAAACTACCTAAAAGGGCCCCAAGACGGCCCAAGAAACCCTCAAGACGGCCCAGGAGGGCCCCAAAACAGCCCCAAGAGGGGGCCCCAAAGAGAAACCCGAACAGTCATTTCGAGCCATCCACCCCAAGACGCCTCTAGGTTGCCCCAAGGAGCCCCGACCAGGCCCCCAGGGAGCCCCAAGATAGCCACAACAAACACCCAAGATGACCCGGGAGGCCCTCAAGAGGTTCAAAAACTGCCTCCCAGACGCCCCCGAAACTCATCCCACGAGGCCCCATCGACCATCCGACTGACCTCAGACAGACCCGCAATTCAGGTACGGTAGCGAGATGTGCCGAAGGCCGTTCGATAATCATTCGTCGGGTGTTTGGGCAGACGCCCTCTGTATGCGTGGGTTCTCGCCCGTTTCCCCATGCGTGTGCCCGTTACCCTGTGACATGTCAAGCCCATTTGCATCAAGTGACAAGAGGAGTTGGCCCAGACTGCCCAGACAATGGCAGTGCAGACGCTGTTATATGCTGTGCAAGCTATATGGCGCGCACGTGGCACGATTCACAAGACAACAACATAATGACGAGGAGCGAGGGCCCAGGCTTGATGAGGACATGGGGGCGGGAACGAAAGGCAGGAGAAGGACGCGCGGGGGGCCGAACCGTCATCGCGGCAGCAGCAGAGGGAAGGTGGCGGGGGGCAGGGACGAAGACAGCGACGGGAGGAGACCGAAGAGTATTGTCGCCTTTGTCGGTTGCGCGCTAAAGATGCAGCGCTGCCTGCGCCATGTCGCCGCGGCGCGCGTGCACGAACCGCGCTGGAACCGCCGCGGCAACACGTGCTGGACTTCCTCCCCCAGTTCCTCCTCCTCCTCCTCCTCCTCCTCTGCCTTTCCTCCTCCGCCGCCCCTGTATCACTCAGAAGTTATCCCTGCACCCCTGCCGGGACATTGGCGACCCCGGGACTAAAACAACCCACAGGTAACAGAACAAGGCGTCACACCGCTGGACCCCAGGGATGGCGAGCTCTCCTGGTGGTCCGCGTAAGACGTCACTCCGCTGGACCCCCCAAGCAGCCCTCTAAAGTCGCGACAATTTCGCAGATCGCACCCCCCCAAGGATGGCGAGGTCTCCTGGTGGCCCGCGTAAGACGTCAATCCGCTAGACCCCACAGCAACCTTCTAAAGTGGCGACAGTTTCACAGATCGCAGCCCCTCAGGGATGGCGGGGTCTCATCTGAATCTGGATAAGACGTCACCCCACTGGGCCCCCCAGCAGCCCTCGAAAGTGGCGACAGTTTCGCAGATCACAGCCCCACAGGGATGGCGAGGTCCCATCTGCATCTGGATAACACGTCACTCCGCTGGACCACCAGCAGCCCTCGAAAGTGGCGACAGTTTCGCATATCGCACTTCCCCAAGGGGTGCCGACCCCTTGGGTTTCATCGGCGTGTGAGATGTGAGATGTTCCCCCCTCCCCAAACCCCTCCCCCGGTCCGGTCGATTTGGAGGGGGGGGTCCCCCGGAAGGTGGGTGAACGCGCCTGGGGGGGGTAGAGGGCCCAGCAACAGACCAAGAGGGCCCCAAGAGGCACTTGGGGCGGTCCACGAGGGCCACAAGACGCCGCTGAAACATCGACCCAAAAACGCCCATGCTGGCCGCCAGAAAGCCTCAGAGGCCCGTAAGACGCCCCGAGAAGCCCCCAAGAAAGCTTCCAGAAGCAAAACACGTTCCATTTCCTTTGGGAAGCGTGCAGTTTCAACACGTTCGCCTCTTGGGCGTTCACAACGTCCCAGACGGCCCACGAGGCCGGGAAGATCGCCCAAAGACGGGTCAAGAGGCCTCCAAAAGGGCTCAAAGACAACACCAAAACAGGCCACGAGGGCCCCAAGATGCCCTTCGGCTGGTCTAAGAGGGCCACGAATCGTTGAAATATCGATCAACAACGACCGCGCTGGCCTACACACGGCTCCCGAAGCCCCCAAGACGCCCCAAGCAGCCCCCAGGAGGCGCCCCAAGAGGGCCTCCAAAAGCAAAAAACCGTCCAGGCTCTTTTGGAAAACTTGTCTTTTTGGCACATTCGCCTCTAGGGCGTTCACAACGTCCCAGACGGCCCGAGAGGCCGTGATGATCGCCCCAAGACGGGCCAAGAGCCCCCCAAGAGGGCTCCTAAACGAATTCAAAACAGACCAAGAGAGCCCCAAGAGGCCTTTCGGCCGGTCTGAGGGGGCCACGAATTGCTGAAAGATCGATCCACAACGCCCACGTTGGCCTCCACACGGCCCCCGAGGCCCTAAGACGCCCCAAGCAGCCCCCACGAGGCGTCCCAAGGGGGCCTCCAGAAGCAGAAATCGTCTTATTTGTTCGGGAAACTTGTATGTTTTGCACATTCGCCTCTTGAGCGTTCACACAGTCCAAACGGCAGAAGAGGCCTTCAAGTTCGCCTCAGGGTGGGCCACAAGGCCCCCAAGAAGACCCCAAAACGACCCAAAAAGGCCCCAAGACGGCCCAAGAAACCCCCTAAGATGGCCCAGGCTCTGAAAGATACGCAGGAGTAAGCTAGAGCAGCAGCTGTCTCCTGCCCGTCTGCCCTGTCCGTGCCACCGCCACCCTTGGCTCAAGGCGAGGGAGGGCGGGACTCTTTCTGACAGAGCCTGGCCGTGCCAGGCAGACCGCGCACACTACAGCGCGGCCGTTCATATCGTGGACAAAAGGTGTCCACCGACAATTATCAAGATAATCGACATCGACACATACTTTCTCTTGCTCTTCCTCATCGTCACCAGCGTGAACGATCGTGAGGACGAGCTCTCGTAATCAGATTGGTAGCGGAGCCTGTGGTCTCCGACAACCACGGGCTCCCACCGGTCTCGGCCTGAATGGCGACTACGGCCGCCAGCGGGCCACCTACGACGCGCGTCGACGTCCCCTCATGGAATGGCGAGGCTGACAAGTTGACGAGCTACAGGTTTGAGGTCTCCATGTTCACCAAGAGCATCAAGACTGCGTAGCGCTACGTGTGCGGCCCGCAGCTGGTGCGCGCCCTCGGGGCGCGAGTCCGGACGACGGTGGAGAGCTGCCCGGACATCGACACGGTCGACGAGATCGACAAGGATGGAGTTTTGATTGGTTGGAACAAAGTGTTTCAGTACGTATTGGAGAAGCTGGACTTCACCAGCCTGAATGACACGGGCCTCCTCGCGGAGGAGTTCTTCCTGAAGGTCAGCCGGAACTCAGGCGAGACCTTCCAGGACTGGGCCGCCAGATTTGAGAAGAAGGAGCGTGAGCTGTTGGCGCAGCTCCAAGTCATTGATTCAAGCGTGACGGAAGTGATTGCGAAGCCTCTTCGGACATGGTGGTTCCTTCGGAAGTCCAAGCTATCCCCTGTTCAACGTGGAGAGATCACCGCCACGGCAGGTGGCGACCTCAACTTCGGCAAGACATACAAGGCCTTGCTCACGCGCTTCCCGGCGGAGGCGCTGGCGGAGCTCGACGGCAAGCAGCACCGTAAGGCCTTCTATGAGGACACGCACGTCGACGACGTTGAGGACGAGACTGGTGGGGAAGATATTGATTTCACAGAGGTTGTCGAGCAGCTGATCACCCTCGCTGAAGAAGATGAAGATGAAGAGCCAGCTGACGACAACCCAGCGGACAACGAGGTGTTCGCAGAGTTCAAGCAGGTGGGCCGGAGCTTCAAGGACGCTCGCGACCTGATCCGACGCCTTCGAGTGTCCCGCGACTACTACCCGGTCGTGTCGCTCAAGGACCC